TATCCCTTTTTCATCTCCTCTCTCTCTCTCTCTCTCTCTCTCTCTCTCTCTCTCTCTCTCTCTCTCTCCGTCTCCCTCTCCCTACATCCTTTGAGAAATCATGTTGCAGTGATAAATATTTGGAAAATGGAAAATATATCTATACATTCACGCGCAGTTTACATATATAGATTTGTGTGTGTATGGACTGATCAAGTTACTCTAGAGCAAGGATCATCACTGGTTCAATTTTTTTTCCTTGTAAAGTCACTAATTGGGATTCAGTTGTTGCATGGGGAGAATCAGTATGCATACATTTGTAGAGAGAGAGAGAGAGAGAGAGAGAGAGAGGACAGGAGAGGAGAGTGAAGAATGTGTCTTTACAAAAATTTATATGGTGGTATGTATGTAAACCAAACAAAATATTGTATTGATAGGTTTAACTAGTAAAAGCATTATAGGGAAACACAGCATAGTACTCAAATGAGTCGACATTAGAGATTGAGTCGTTTCCTTCACAAAAAATTCATTTTTAATTAGGCTCAAGGGACTTGGGCTTTAAGGTCCATCTATTAAAATCGATCCCTAAAATAGAGATTTTTTCAGAAAACCTATTCTTGGTTGGCATAGTTGAGTCCTAGACCCAAGAACAACCATTGAATCTCATATTTAAGGCCCAGATGGCCAATTGAGCCAAACTTTATCAGCTCAATTGAATGGTCTCCCAATTTCCAGATAAAACCATCATGCCTTCATTAATTGACATGAAATCAGTGATCCCATTCCTATAAATGGGTAAATATGATACACATATACTCTTTCTACATAAATCTTAGGTAGTAATATATTTTAGTATACTTTTTAATTTAAGTTCTATGCATCAGCCAAACACTATCATGGTAGTCAGATTATATTTTAATGTGGGTTGTCCAAACCCTTGAAAAGTTTGACCAAACTATGTTTCAGCATGAATAGTTATCATTATATCTAACCATGATGCATTGGTCCACTAATACGTTTTTAGGAGTTGTAACAGGGCTTGTAACACAGAAAATCTAAGAGGGAACAATCGATCAATGGTTCTAGGTTAAATTGGAAGTCAATCATAATAATATATATCAATCTTATTGATAGTGGACAAGATATGCTAAAAGTGCTGACCATCACAAATATTTTTCTTGGATCAACTTCCAAGTTTGGACCCCTTACTTACAAAGAGTTGATGATTGTTGATCGTTTTATCTATAGGCATTAGCCTTTGCAATTGGGGTTCTAGATCCACTTCTAGGTATCCTTACTTTGTTGGATTTTGGTTTTTCTGATGAATAGATTTAGTAATTCAATCAAATCGAGTTAAACAATCCTTGAAATGCTTTAATGGTCGAATTCTCATTCTAAGGTCTCATCCTTTAAGCATTCGCTAGGCCACCTAAGACTCATAACTACATTGATCAATGGGGCTCGTTCGTTTTCTTCTCAGCTCACTCCTTGTATTCTTGCCTCAAACACTATATCTTATCGAGTTTAATTAAGCATACCTATCGAAACTTTTTGATCACCAGAATTTAGAATGGTAGTTTAATTTTGCATGCATGGCACACCAATTCAAATATCAAATTCAAAATATTTTTACTAATGATGGGATTAAATGTATTAATCATCAGATCTATATGAATAATTCAATTACAACGTTTAAACTCAAAACTATTAGAATATTTACTTAGCTGCTTACATTCCAATCAGCATAGTGCAAGTATTGAAATTAGTATAATATATTTTCAGATGTTCTTACGAATAACTTGACAATCACAATTCTAGTCAATCATTGTTTCAGGGCTGAAATTAAGAAAAAGTCTAATGCATCAAAGAGTAAGTGCAAACCTAAGATGTTAATTTAAATAATTCTTAGACTTACGTTTTTGTCAAAAATATGAGCACTACATATTGGAAAGTTTGAAAAACTCATGATACAATAAAGAGCTCGGTGAAATTTAAAGATTTATATTCTTTATGAATTATACAATATTAACTTATGTTTTATAAAGTTTAAATTCAGGTACTCATGTGACAATAAATAGCTCTACTTCTAGTCTATGCAAATGAACATAAGATGGCCCAAAACACAGCCTATATAAAGAGAACTTCATCCCACATCAAAGGATAGAGAGAGAGAGAGCCACAATAATCATATATACCCTTTAAAAAGTACACAATTATCACAATTATGGCTCAACACCTTCAAGAGAAGTTCATCTTGGAGATCCAAAGTTGTCAAATCAATCAAGAGTGGTTGTAACTATCTAAACATTAAATGAACGCTCATTAGAACACATCAGGGTAAGTTATGAATCAAGTTAAGCACAATGGTAATGTGGTTGAATTTAAAGTTATCTTTTTAGTTTAATAACCACACAAAGTGCTGGTCCTATGAGCATAAATTTCAAGTGCATTTATACTTAGGTGCAACATCACCTTGAGTTATTTTGTGGACGTTATTTATTAAAACTAGTGAAGATTTGATGTTGTTAGTTTTTCTTTTTGTTTGGTGGGCTAGAACACTAGTAAAGCTAGAAAACTAGTGACAACCCCTTAATAGTTGTCCTGCAGGCAAGAGCTTATAAAATGCATGTAGGATTGACGACATTTTGATAGCTTTTTGGTGTGCTAGAGCCTATAAAGCTAGTAGTGGAGTAATTACCCTATAAGTAATATGGTTCTTACAACTAAATAAAACCTAAATATAATCTTCTTATAAGATTAGTGAAAACCCAAAGATTGTGACTGTCAATAAATAGTGAATGTAAGCTAGGTGCTAACCCACTATAAATGTATATGCATGACACCATTTATGAGTTTATTATCTCTTGTAAGAACACTTAAAATTATGTTTATGCACTACATAAAATCAAAATAGATATAATGATATGTAAATTAGATCATCCATTCTAATTATATATATATATATACAATGGTCTTTGTATAGCATTAGGAAACATGTGTTCAAAGTAACTCTAGTGTATTCTCAAACACACAATAGAAAGAAGCCATTATCTTATTAGTCCACAAATTTAAGACAATCTTGAAGATTATAGGTAATAGAATTAGAAACCATAAGTTTATCGGAAAACACAACCGACTCTATTCACAACCCCCCCCCCCCCAGCTTTAGCAAGTGAAAATAATAGTTTCAACTAGGCATATTAAATTTAATATGCCTAAATTGTTCACCTAAAACTTAGACGTGAAGTGATCATCTATTTTTTATTGTAAATAATTACTAAAAATATCTTTGGATCACCAATTTTGACCCAAAAAAGTTATTCAAAACTTAACATGGGCCATCCCCATACTCCTCTCTTTCTTGGTACTCTGGCTAGATGGGCCTTTATTAATTTGCTAATTTTAGTTTATAATAACAGGGGCTATTCTATGAGCCCATTTCTAGTGAAAGTTGGAATTTTTTACTGAGAATTAATAATAGCAAGAGGATAATGAGATAATAGGTTCAGAAAAGATTCCGATCTGATAAGATTATCAAATGGTGTGTGGAGGGTATTTCCGTCATTCGAATAGGACAAGTCTATAGAGGTAGGTTGCCGCGGCGTTCTGACAGGACGAGCTGATCCAGCGTGGGTGGGCGCGGTAGGAGGGTAGTTTCGTCAATTGTCCCGATGCGGCGCGATCAAGATGACGGTGACGGAGCGGACCCCCAAATCTGGTCCAATTAAACAAATAAAAAAAACCCACGTCACGGAAATTCGCAACAGAAAATGGGAAGAATTAGTTGGAAACTACCGTCTCCCCTCTCTCTCTCTCCGCTCTCCAGAGTGGCTACGTGACTCTACCCCCTCTCTCCCTCGTAGGCTCTCTCTATATGTATATCTCCTCTCTCTCTCTCTCTCTCTCTCTCCCTGTCTCTCTCTCTCGGAATCTCTAATTCTCGAGCAATGCGTTTTAGGAGGGGCGTACTTCTCCCTGCGCACGCTCTCAGCAGGTATGTCAGCACGGATCTCGCTCTAACCGCAAGCCAGGAAGCATCGTGACTGCGGGAGCGAAGAAGTCCAGGTGATTTGCTCTTCATCAAATCGTGTTTTCAGCGATTGACTTTACTCTGTTTTGCATGAATGTACCCATCTTTTTGTACTGTTTTTAGATCCACTTTCCCTGCAGTTTTTCTTCTTCTCGTTCGCTTGGGATTCAGTTTGTTTCTCTGGAACTCTCTCCACAACAATTCCAGGGTTTAATATCGTTTTCATCTCCTTTTTGTTCTTACGGTTGCCTTTCCTTCTACCTTCTGGACTCCTGCTCATGTCGAGGACGTACATTATCGATTAGATACGATTTCGGCGGATGTACTGCTATTCTTGACCGCAGTGAAAATCTGGATAGCTGATCTCTTCTTTCCACGTAACCTCCTTGCCTTTTCGTGCTAGATTCCAGGTTATGTGACCTTGTTCTTATTCTCTTGTCATCAGTTGCTACGACGAGATCTAGTCAACCGCAAGGCCAGGAATTGTGTGACATCAACATCCTATAGTTTCGTTTCCACAGTGATCTGTGAATTCGGCAAGGAACCCTGTTTTTCTTCAGTGATCCGTGAATTCGGCCAGGAAGCCTGTTTATTTGTTCACTTTAACCTGTCTAACCGTAGTCGTTTCTCTATTGGTTTGCTCCGCGTGTATCCAAATTTCCGCGTTCCTCTGTTCAAAGGATATCCTTCAGTCAATTAACCAATGTTTACCGTGATTTTTTCTGCAGTACAGTTACCTTTTGCTAATGACTTTTGTGGCTCCGGCTCTTTATTCGATCTTTCCGTCTCCCGGTTTTATCGTCAGTATTTAACCTTTCCATTCTTTTTCTGAATGAGATTCTCATCATGACCGTCCATGCGTTTAATTTTTTTACCTGGGAATCCAAGTTTTGTCGGTACATGTGCGAACGTGATGTTTCATTGCAGCTTCTAGTGCCCCTTGAACATTGTTGCGAAAAGGGTGGAGAAATCCTTGTTTCATTGCAACATGATGGAGCAGTATGAGGTCTTGGAGCAAATAGGGAAGGGAGCGTTTGGATGTGCTTTCCTTGTGAGACATAAGCTTGGGAAGAAGAAGTACGATCCACTTTTCTTCAGTTATCTTGTTTCATTCTAATCAGATGTCTCTATTACTTGAGAGTGATGTTTCAGCTTGCTAGTTACCTTTGGTACAGTACTGCGTTCTGATGTCTTACTATTTCTCTGGTTTGTTGAAGGTATGTTCTTAAGAAGATCCGCCTTGCCCGTCAGACTGAGAGGTGCCGGAGATCAGCACACCAAGAGGTAAGCCGTAGCTTATTACGTTTTTATCCACTATCCAATTCCTCAAACACACCCTTTCCTTTCTCACTGGCCTAGTGATTTAACTACCAAACAGACCTCATTTACCAACCTGGGTACTCATGAACACTTTCAATTGACAGCACGCACTCTCTGACAACTTCTGTCAAGTAGACGTACACAGAACTGGAACATGAATAGCACATCTGGGTTTGCATCTGAAGACGACGATCCATTCTGAGAAGGATGATCTTTTCTAACGGATTAGAGAAGCGTAAATTTTAAATGATTATATCATGGTATTTGTCTCATTTGAACAGGCCAAATTTTATGTGTAAATTCCTTTCATCAATATCCCAATAGTCAATCTAACAGAAAATGTTGTCACTGTTCCGCAACAGAATAGTACATCCATATGTATAATTTGTTTCCAAAATCCACTGTTCCGCAAGGATACAAGTTATTAGATTTTGGGTATCAGAATTTCGTCGTCTAACGCTTACAACGTGTGGCTTTTTTCACAATCCAATCGTCGTAGAATCATTTAGTCAGACATGATTCTTATGGTTATCACTTTGATAAGAAATTCCAACGACTACTTTGAGCAATTAAGTGATCTCAGACAAAATGATATCGAAAATTTCAGGCCCCAGATGGTGATTCCCTTTCTTTTTCCATGTAAATTCTTCTTTTAGTGTTTCGCATAAGGAATCAATCGGGATTTTCTTCCAATTGGTTAGGTCAACTTTTAAGTACAGCTCACCGCGCATGGAACTAGTCATGGGTTATAAACACATTCACATGTTTCAGACGAGAAGTAGAGAAACTGTTATTTGACATAGATCTGTACTGACTATTTACGATGCAAAATCGTCATTGTTCTCAGATGGAGCTCATCTCTAAAGTCCGAAATCCATATATAGTGGAATACAAAGATTCTTGGGTGGAGAAGGTCAGCAGTAGTCGCAGATTTATTTATTTTTTTCACTTATCTTCATGGAGTCAGGAAGAAAGTCTAAGCCCGAAAATTTTCAAGTTATTCCTTCCAGGGGTGCTATGTCTGCATCATTATAGGTTACTGCGAGGGAGGGGATATGTAAGCTACTCTTCCTTTTCTCATGAGATTCACAGCGAGGATTTATGGACCATTTGCATCAACATCCCATTCTACTGATGCACAGGGCGGAGGCCATTAAGAAGGCCAACGGAGTCCTTTTCCCTGAGGAGGTCGCTCATCTTGGCGGCTGAATTTATGTACCACTTCACTTATACATATAGGAAAATAAATTATCTGATATTTCTCCATTATAAATAAATGCGCAGAAGCTATGCAAGTGGCTCGTTCAGCTCCTGCTGGCGCTCGATTACTTGCACAAGAATCACATCTTGCATCGGGATGTGAAGGTCAGTGAAAATCTAACTCGCCCTTGAGATCAGCCAGCCTTTATTTTATTTTTTTACTGATATGCCCTTCCTTCAGTGCTCAAATATATTCTTGACGAAAGGTCAAGACATACGCTTAGGTCAGTCGAATCTTCTGACCTGGGAAAGACTAGAATTTATCCTTCTTCTTCTTCTTCATTAATCGCGTTGTATTCTTGGCCTCTGTTTGCCCCAGGTGACTTTGGACTGGCCAAAATGTTGACCTCCGATGATCTTGCCTCCTCTGTGAGCTCTCTCGCCCTTTTGGTTTATTTCAAGCGATTCAGTGAGCTAAGTTCAGATATATCTATACATAGATATATATACATATATATATATATATATATATAGATGCATACTATGGATAGTAACTGTGACAGAAAATGATGCAGGTGGTGGGGACTCCCAGTTACATGTGTCCAGAGCTTCTTGCCGACATACCTTATGGTTCCAAGTCTGATATCTGGTCACTAGGTGGGTGGATTTCTATTTCTACAGATGGAAACCAGCCCCTAAACCTTTCAATCTAATCCAGTAAAAAGGGATAATAAATGTTGAGTGAATTAGGTCTTCCATCTTTCCAGGTTGCTGCATGTACGAGATGACTGCATTCAGGCCCGCCTTTAGAGCCACGGTGACTAGTCTCTCCATATCTCATCATTTGACTTTCTTGGACTTGTCTTAAAGATATCTACTTCCTTTCTGAGAGATATCCTAAAATGGGAGTCCCATGTTCATCATACATATTTATATATGTTTAGATTGTTCACGTGGGCACGAAGAACATTAGGTATTTTCCATTGTGATGAGAAAGATTTTCATAGAAAAAAGTCAACGACTTGTTCATGGCGACTGTTCTAATTAATCACCCCTCCCCTCCCTTTCCTCATGACCCAGGATATGCAAACCCTTATAAGCAAGATCAACAAGTCAGCATTATCTCCCCTCCCGAGCTCATATTCCGGCGCGTTGTGAGCCCAAATCTAACCTGTCATATCTCCTTCCCAACCTCTCTCTCGGGCTCCCCACCCACCCTGAAACTAATCTCTCTCTCTCTCTCTCTCTCTCTCTCTCTCTCTCTCTCTCTCTCTCTGTGTGGCTATTTCTGGTTGCAGAAGGGGGATCATCAAGAGCATGCTGCGGAAGAACCCAGAGCTCAGGCCAAGCGTATCTAGCCTCTGACCAAGCCCACATACCAGTCAACGGCTTACTCTTATTCCACAAGTCAAATGACCGGCTCCGCTGACTCATCTTTGCAGGCTGCCGATCTGCTGAGACATCCCCACCTTCAGCCCTACCTTCTTGAGAAAGCCCACCTCAAGTCCACGTCGGAGAAAGGAGGCCATGTCGGAGGGGTCGCCGCTGACGGGAGAAGACCGAGTCAACATTCATATGGGCTGGGCTCGAATGGGCCGGCTCGTCGGCCCATTCTGGGGAAACTGGGATCGCCGGATGTATCCGTCAACGAGCCGAGGATAGACAGGATGGAGTTCCCCCTGGGCTCGTCCGAGGAAGAAGAAGAAGAGTTGGGCTTGCTCTCGATGGCGGGACCCAGCACCGTTGGGAACGCCTCCATCACGAAGGACAAGTGTACGGTCCAGATCATCCGGGCCAAGGGCCAGGGGGAGAACGAATCGACGGGGGAGCATGGCTCGAGCCGTGGATGCGAGGATCGTAGGCCCGCGCGGTTCGACATGACGTCGCAGAGGCAGAGGGCGGAGGCGCTGGAAGGGCTGCTGGAGTTCAGCGCGAGGCTGCTGCAGGAGGAGCGGCTGGAGGAGCTGGGCGTGCTGCTGGGGCCATTCGGGCCGGGGAAGGTCTCCCCCAGGGAGACGGCCATTTGGCTCGCCAAGAGCTTCAAGGAGAGCGCGCCGCCCAACAATCACCATTGACAGAAAATCTCTCTCTCTCTCTCTCTCTCTCTCTCCCCCCCTCTCCGTTCTATCCCTATCCCCTCTCTTTCTCTCTCTAGCTCTCTCTCCTGTCTCTCTTTAGCCCTCTCTCTATCTCTCTAGTTATCTCTCTCCGCTCTCTCTCTAGCTCTCTACCCACTCCTATCTCTCTTTCTCGATCTCTCGATCTCGCTTATCCGGTGGTCTCTGGGACACTTCCTTCTCAGGGGTGGAAGAAAGAAGAGATTGGTGGCATAAAAGGGTAGAGGTTCCATTGGGGGCATAAAACTTTCTGGTGGGTCGGAAGCCGATAGGATTCCGTGATTCTGAATTTCAAAGTTCTTAAAAAATTACTTAATCGGGATATTAATGTAAGCCGCATAAGACTTGGGCATAAATCAAAGGAGGCCAAACCAAACGCAACATAGAAAAACTGTAGGGGCTGTATTTTTTTAATTTCCATTTCATTTTTAATTTGAGGATTGCCATTGTCCATTGATTTTCTATTTTCAGCATTAAGGGCCACAATGGTGCAGCATGCTCGCATACAATATCATATTAGGTCAATTAATGGGCCCTCTCTTTTGATGATACTAGCACAAAAGAGATTGAGCATTTTCATATGGCTAAGATTTCATCCTTTGTCATTCTCTCTTCTTACACAATCATCAACTCAAGCATTAAGAATTTAGCAACTAAAAGTTAGAATTTTTTGGTATTAGCTGTATTGTGGTGGTATTTTGAATACATGTAAGACTCTCTCCTATTATATGGGAGAACCAATGAAACAAAAGTATCCTCGCTAATAGGGAGTGAGGGATTTCCTTTCTTCTCTCAAATGAAGAAAGGGGGTTTCACTCTCTCACAAACTTCTCCTCTCTGTCTTTCCCTTGTGAATATCTCTCATCTCTTACTCCTATTTATCTTTTATCTTCCTTCACTCTTTCCTTGTCGTTTTTGTCAAGATATCAGAGCTCTCTGAAGTAGAGAAATCTCAACAACTTTTTGATGATTGTGGATTCTCTAAATAAATGTGTTTCAACATGTCCAAGTGCCTATGAACTACCTTTGACGCAAATATATATTCAATTTTTTTTTCGAGTTGATCGGTGATTTTTCTCCTTATTGACTATCAAGACAATACATATTTCTATCCTTTCTTGTTATGATGGGAGCTATAACTCCACTAACAATAAAAGCATTTAAAAAATTATTAGTCACATTGATATAATCATGATCTACAAGTGTTCAAAGTTCAAAGATGATCTTAGAACCTAATTTAATTAAGTTGAATTGATCATATACAATCTATGTTAAATGAGTCATATGCATCTAATTTTATATTCGCACAATGCCAAAGGTAATACAAAAATGATTTTTTTTTTTTAAACCATGCAAGTGATGAGATTTTTTTTCTGAGAGTAGAGTTCAAATAACTCTTGAATATATAGCTTATATTGTTATTTTCTTCAATAAAACCTAATCAAACTCATATTGTTGAGGCATTGATTGATGTTTTGTTCATTGTGGCAAATTGTATGCACACAAGATATAGAGAGAGTTTTGAAATTTGGTGCAAGGTTCTAAGTTAGTGACATAATATGTTAGAGAGTTGAAGAGGTTGTGGAATGATTTTGACTTTTACAATCTTTTTAATTTGACTTATCCTAATGATGTTGTAATTTTAAACAATTGAATAGAACATAAAAGTCTCCTTGATTGTTTCGATAAATTGAATATCGAATTCAAGTATCCCTGTTCTTCTATCTTAAGCACACAAAAGTGGTCATCCCTAAATGAGTTCATATCTATGATTCTCAGTGAAGAGAGACGTTTACATTTTAAATGCAATATCTAATCAGCTTCCTATGATTAGATCATCATTATCAATGTAACTTTCATTTTATATCATAAGAAGGTTCACCTCCTCATGGACAAAGTTGAAATATATGACTTTTGTCATATAAAAAATGTATTGCTATGGCTTATATGAGCAAACAAACCTTCTAGAGGTCATGGTCGTGGTCGTATTAGGGGTAGAGGTAGACTGTCCATTAACAAAGATTGAGGGATTCAAACTATTCAATTTAATTGATCTTCTTCTTGAGAGAATTGTCAATGGAAAAAATATTTAAATCCTTCAAAAATTCGGATGTAGTTTGTAGGTTTTAAACAGTGGCGCTTGTATGGAGAGATATCTCTGATGCAACCTTCCAGAACTACACCTTAAAGGCCATACTCCTGCCCTTATATATATATATATATATATATACATAGAGCGAGAGCGAGAGAGAGAGAGAGAGAGAGGGCCCAGCCTAGAAGGAAGACTACACGGGCAGCGGCAGAATCGCAGGGATCTCGTGATGATGGCCGCTCTTCCCCGGGAATTCCCTGGCGGCGCGCCGCCGCACCGTAGACTCCCCGCCGTCAGAACACATTGGCGTTTCTCCAAGGAACTCGGCGCCACCACCCCTCGCCGCAAGTGCTCGCCCGGTCAAACGCAAGACCCCCTCTTCTTCCTTCTCCCTCTCCCCCGGCCAGTCCGTCGGTCGCTGCCTGTCGAATTCTCCTTCCATCTGTGCCCCACCACCCCAACCCCAGCGCGAGCTGTTCTTCTGACAGCCGCCGGGGGACCGCCGGAGAGGGCAGTCGATGTGGACCGCGGGGCCTCTCACATGGCCGCCGCCCCGCGGGGGAAGCCCCCGACATTATAGCGATGGACGGCAGGAGGGTTATCAGAACCTTCCTTCCTTCCATCCTTCCTGATACTCTTCCCTGATCATCTCTCCTTCGTATTTTCCTTCCACATTTACCTCCAGGCCCTGCTAGAGAGAGAGAGAGAGAGAGAGAGAGAGAGAGAGAGAGAGAGAGAGAGAGAGAGAAGGGATGATGATCTTGCCGGAGATGGTCGGCAGGAGGGTCAAGAGGACATTCTGAAGCTTCCTTCCTTCCTTCCTGCTACACTTCCCTGATCGCTCCTTCGTCTTCTCCTCCCATATTTAGCTCCACGGCTTTCTAGAGCGAGAGTGAGAGAGAGAGAGAGATAGAGGCTGCCGGCAATGGATTAGCCTTTGAATGTTGGGCAGTGGGTGAGGGGGATGGGGAAGGCGGGGGAATGGATCAGAGGCTTGTTGAGGGGGAGGAGAAAGGAGAAGGGCAAGGAGAGGGGCGGGTCGGCGGGGCAGCAGCCTGCGAAGGAGAAGAGAAGATGGAGCTTCCGCCGGTCTGCGACGGCGGGGAAGGATGCGAATTCTCCAACGCCGGTGGCCAGTGGGCAGATCCACGAGAGAACTCCGACGGCGGTGGCGGCGGTGGCCGTGCCGGGGAGATCCTGCACCGTCGAGGAAGCTGCCGCCATCAAGATCCAGTCCCTCTTCCGAGCTCACCTGGTGGATATCTCTCGCTGGTTTGTTTTCTGAGGAAGACGCGAGAAATGGGACGGGAATCTGACTGAGGACATGATCGAATCTTGCAGGCGAAGAAGGCACTACGCGCGCTGAAGGGGCTGGTGAAGCTGCAGGCGCTCGCGAGGGGCCACCTGGTGAGGAAGCAGGCGGTGGCAGCTCTGAGATGCATGCACGCCCTCGTGACGGCGCAGGCCAGGGCTCGAGAGCAGAGGCTCCGAGGGGCGGCGGAGGATCCATCGCCGCCGCCGGATAATCGCTGGTTCGGACGGTCGCCTGTAAGTCGTCTTCTTCTTCTTCTTCTTTGCCATTGCTGGTTGGCCTCAGACCCGCCATTGTCGACTTTCTCAGGGGGAGGACGTGAAGATCGTGGAGATGGATCTCGGGGAGGCGACGGCGAGCTCGAAGCTCCAACTCCGCCACCGGGTAGCTTCCTCTGGGCCATCCCCGGCGGCGGAGGCGAGCCCCGGGAGCTATCTCGAGGAACTCTCCTTCTCCACCGCGCAGAGCAGTAGCCCCTACTCGGGCCTGCTGAACGCTCTCCTCGGCGGCGCTCGCCGGCGGGAGCTCTCTCCGATCTCCGGCGAGCTCCCAACGCTAAAACCCAGCTACATGGCCAACACGGAGTCCTCCAGGGCCAAGGCCCGGTCGCAGAGCGCCCCAAAGCAGCGCTTGGAGTCAGGCTGCCGCCGCCGCCCGTCGGTGGAGGGAAGGACTGCACCCCGCGGCGCTGCCGCCGGCGGCGGCGGCGGTGGCGGTGGCGTTAGAATGCAGAGATCCTCCTCCCACGCGGGCAAGTCCGGCAACTCCCTGAAGGGCAGTGAATGCGGGTCGACCAGCACCGTCCTCACAGGCAGCAACTACTGTCGGTCCCTCCTTGCCTACGAGGTCAGCGGCCATTAATTTACTCCCCGGAGGAGGACACAGTGGGAGGTGTTTCCCGCCGGAGATCTCATCGCTTGTCCTTCCTGCTCCTGCAGATTTCCGGAGGCAGGTTCTGATCTGGGTTTCGGGAAGGAGATTGGATGTCGCCGGTGATAGAAATGTTGCCGTGATTCGCCTCAAACAGCTTCGAAGATCGAGCCCGCGCGACGCATTCATTCCGGATCTTCTTCTCTTTGGCTCCAAAACTAGAATCCACGGTTCAGAGAGTGGTCAACCCACTGCTCTTCGTATCGTGCTTTCTGGTCAACCCACATGCTCTACAGCCGACCTCGTCTTTCGGCGTAGATAGAGAGAGAGAGAGAGAGAGAGAGAGAGAGAGAGAGAGATGAGTTGGTGTTGTGAAGTTTAAATGGGTTTCATTTTTGAGGCTAAAGATTGCGTCTTTTATGCTCTGACATGGGCAATGCACACAACTGCCACCAGCCCCTCACCGCCGAAGGCCCTGCTATTCCCTCAAGATTTACGAATCCTTTTGGATCACTTGGAATAATAAATACGGCACTATTAATTTTTGCAGGCTATTTTTCTAATTTTTCAGAAAAAGAATAAATGTTGGGATCGTCGGTCCGGCCCATTTAATTCCTCCCGCTGCGTCCCGCCCAAATTGCCCCGTCGGATCATTGCCTCTCCTCTCTCTCTCTCTCTCTCTCTCTCGGCCTTGTCCCTCGTTCGCCGCGGCTCCGGCCATGTCAATCGCAAGCACAATCCAGCGAAGCCAGGCATGTCCGGATCTGATATCGATCTTCGGTATTGAAAAGAGTTTCTCGACCTGTTCTGGAGATTTCTTCCGCTTCTGATTCGTTTGCTCTTTGGTTCTTCTGGGGAAATTATTCGGGGGAGTTGGGGGTGTAGGTGGACTTGCAGGACTTCGTGGATTGGTCGGGAGTGGAGTGCCTCAATCAGAACAGCGGCCACTCCCTCGTCAACGCCCTCAAACAGGTGGATCGCTTCCTCATGAGCTGCCCCGCTTCTACCTCTCCGATTCGCTCCGAATTTATTTTGGCGTTGGTTGGAATTTTCATGCCCACTGAACGGTCGGTTGGGCTTCGCGTGTTGGTATTGCTGTTGGTTAGGGTTACAGAGATGACGATGGATTGCATCTGGAGAGCGATGCGGACGAGCAGCTTCTGATCTACATCCCTTTTACCCAGGTTGTCAAGCTTCACTCCATCCTCTTCGTGGGACCTGAAGAGGAAGGTACTTCACCTATTCTTCTAGGTTTTTGGACAATTATTCGTCTTTAGTTTTTTCTTTGTTTCCATGTGCTCTACCTTATTGAGAAGATAAAGGTTATAATTTTTGCCTCCCTTTTGATGTCAATGTGTGTTTGATAAGTAGAGACTTTGGATACTTGTCTCATTGAAGCAAGAGCTCTAAACTCTAGATCTCAAGGTTCTTGTTCATCTGATTTTATAGACTCTGTTTCCTATTGTCAAGGTCATATAGTGCTCCTATTCAAATACACCGTATATTCTGCATTGAAATATTTAACCACGAACGTTTGAGTCATGACATCTTCCTCTGGCTGTGCGACGACGGAACAAAAACATTCTGGCGATTGTTTTTTCATCTCAGCTTATTTGTCATTTTGTTAGTACATTATCGCAAGTCATATTGTATGGGACAATATAGTAACTTTTAAAGTCTCTCAGCAATAAAAGATAATTAAATTTTCCTTTCATCTTTTTATTGAATCGATTCACCATTCAAACATTGAATGCATACGCTTGGTTACGAAATTTCCAAGTATAAAAATAATGAGTATTCAAATATAGAAAATCTGAATGTCTATATACACCCAAATTGTACTAAACCATTCCACTGCAAACTACGTATCTAGATCATTATCAATCCCAACATGAAGTTGTAACGCTAGATGTTTCTAGATCATTTACAGGGTATGAGGAAAACCCTGCTCCTTTTTAATATCTTCGAAGTCATCTTGTGGAGTCGAAGAATATACTACGTTCATATTTTCTATCATTGCTTTTCCTTAATCGTCCGCAGTTGCAGTATTGGTGTTTTTTGTTAGCTACATTTTAAAGAATTTGAACAGCTTTTCGGATGTCATCAGGTTTTTGTTGGAATGTAACAATCAATTTTACTGAGAATGTTTTATTCCATGTCTATATATCTTTGTAAAGATCTCTGTATGTTTATAAGTTTGGAGGTCGCCGCTCAATTTAACCTTCTTTTGAGATTTCTAGTGATCAGCTTTTTCTAAATGTTTGTTTTGAGCTTAGTCGATTTCTAGGTTGAAAGCCACCACCTAAATTTTGCATGCTATTCAAATTACTTAATGGTGAACCATCACTCGCATTTTGTCTATCACTGAGATTTGTCGGCGGTAGGTTGTGAGTTTCAATGTCATACCCTAGTCAAATGTTAAGTTGGAAGGACTTATGTTCTTCATTCGTATAAAATTTATTGATATGTGAGTCTAAATAAGTTTTTATTCGCAACCAACTTTTACATTTTTTCTACCATTGGGATTTATCTATTACTTCACTAGATTTCTCTATTAGAACAAACAAATCTTCTTTATTACACAACTAAAGGAAATGGTGTAGCAATATTCGAACAAAGTAGACAGTTAAATATGGACAGAGTATTTTAAGAAAAAGCCATAGTTATGAATCACTTACCAGCCAAACATTCAGCACAGCAAATGAGGAAGAAGTAAAGGATCAATGTGAAAGAGCCACTGGCATTAAAGAGGTGTTTGTTGGGCTTTGTGCTTTATTTCTGCAGCATTTCAATCAAGTTCCTCCACTTGAAAAATGACACAGTAGATATTGGGGAAGAATGAAAGAAGTCCTTGAATCCACAAGGGGAACATGCTAAAAATTTTGACTAGGAGGAAAATCTGTCTTTTACAATATGCACCTCTTTAAATGGGTAGAATATTTGTTCTAGATCCTAAAGTTGTTGGGATATGGTAAGAAATATAATAAAAGATAACTGTTCCTAAGAAAAACAGAATCAATTACTTAACAAAAGATGGCCTAATGGGCCACCTAAATAAAGCTTTTTGGGCTTTCTGCTTACCCTTTTGGACCTTTTAAGCTACTCCCCTTAGGCTTTCCAAACTTCGAATAATGTTGTTATACACTAGTCTCCTTTACTAACAATAAAAGTTTAAGGCTTGTCAACGAAGCTGCTGACTTTGTAATTTTAAGTGAATTCTTTTATGGTTATGGCAGAGATACATTGCTTTTGTTTATCTCATAAAATGCACTAGATTAAACTACCCATCATCACATTAGCCACTTTCATTTGATTGTCTATTTGAGGATGACTGGCGCTATTAAATTTTAATGGTGGATTAAACCTAGTTCATAAAGTCTCTCAGGAGTGGAAAAAGAAACTAACATCACAGTCTGAAGCAATAGTATCTAGTACTAAATGTGAAAAAATTATTTCCTTAAAAAATAAATTAGCTACATGCACTGCATCAATTGTCTTTTTTCATGCAGTAAAGTTTGTGCCACTTTTTAAAAGCAAAAACAAAGAAAAAATCTACACCTTGTTTGGTAGAAGGAAATTTCAAAATAAAATCATCAAACTCAGGTTATTTTCGATTTGGCATGAAGTCTTATGTTTTTTACCCTACATACGTGTCATCTTTTAACATGATTTTCGACATCTCTTTTCAATTGAGGCCTGTAGTCTTTTCAATTGTTCTTCAACTAGTTGTGTTTTGTATATCCCAATGCCTTCTCAATCCTTTGCCCTGCAATTTTCTCACCTTTTCATGTAATCAACTTCTGGGATACACAATTGATTTCCATTAAATAAGAATTCTTCTTGTAATTGAAAGATGCCTATTACTTGACCAATCTTATGTGCCGCCCATACGTTGCATAAATCCTTATTATCTTCGTGTAAATTGTTTATTTGAGTGAATCTGCGACCTAGTCTAATTTACCCGGTATTTGCTTCATATTGAATGTCAATCACTGAATAAATGTAACCCTAGTTGCCTTTCATGATATTACCAATTATATCAGCTTCTTACCCTTAATTAAAATTTTCTTTGATCATGCATTCAATGATAAAGAACGGAAAGTATTAAAATTAATGATAAATTTGTGGTAAGAAGAAGCCAATCTCTGGAAGCTAATATCATTACATTCAATTTCTTTAAATTGCATCCAGCTCATTCTCTTGTAAGGCTTTTAAAACCTCTCTCGAAGGAGATAAATTATAAATGTTCCACTGGCTTTATATTTATTGATTTATTTTGTGATTACCTGGTACTTAGCTAGGAGTAGATTCTTTTTTTTCTGTGATGGACTACCTTTCAAGAATGACACACTTTATTACATGTAATAACACAAATGATAAAATGCATGACGCTAAACTTTTTTTCAGGATAGTGCTCCATTTGCATGGGGCACCGAATTTTATCACTGCTAATATTGATACTAAACTCTTCTTCCACCTCTGACAAACTTATTGACAAGGTTTGGTTCTTCGTTAAACTTCAATGGTATCAGTCACTCTCAAACAGATGATCAGACGAAAGTTATTCATATGATATTTGGTAATTTAAACTTATACATTTCAAGAGATAAACGAGGCAATCTGACCTTCACTTAGTCCTAGCAGAATTTGCTTATAATTACATAGTCAGTCGCTGTACTAACAAGTTTTCTTTCTCTATTGGATATTGTTTGTCTCTAGAGCTTCATTTAGATTTAATGCCTTTATTGAAACGCCTAAGATATAGTATTATAGTGAACAACATGGTGGGTCACATCAAAGTTATTCATGAAGGTGTGAATCAATAACTCTCATCAACTTCCGTCAATTATAAGGTATCTGCAAACAAAGTGAGGAGGGAAAAAGGTTTTTGACACTGTTCAACATGGTATTGTCTTTTTGCAGAAAGACAGATATTCGGCTGGAAACTACAGCAAGCTGAAGGCAAAAAATAGAGAATGTTCAGAGTTCTGCAGAAAACTAACAACCATGTTTACACTAGTTTATATACCAATCAACTTTTAATGGAGGTCATCTTTTTTATCAAATTCGGTTAAAAAATAAGGATTTGTGGGCGAGTTCTTTTCAAGGAAGAGAGGCTAATATAGATAAACCTTCCATTAGATTGGAGGAATTCAAGAGAAAAGGTCAAAAGCTGTTAAAGGGTACAGCATGGAAAGCCCAAATAAGCTTTGTCTTGGTGACCCACTAGGCTAAAACGTTATCTTTTGTTAGGTTTAGTAACTGTTTCCCTTTTCTATGAAATATAATCTTTTAGTATAATTATATCATATCCTATTTTTTAAAAGATCTAGAACTACCGTCTGCCTATTTACAGAGGCACGTCACGTAATGAGGGAAATTTTCTTCTTTAGCAAATTTTTGACCGCATCTCTGCCTTGTGAATTCAAGGCCTTATTCTTCCCCTACTTCTGCTACATCACTTTTCAAAGTGGAGCAACTCAATTACATCGATGGAGAAAGAAAGGCTTAACATTTAGCGGTCACATCTTTAAAGCCAGTGGCACTTTTGTCTCAGCCATATAACATCTTTTATTCCTCATTTTACTGCACTTGATATCGCATGATTTGTTAGTTCGTGAGACATAATAGTGGTTGCTTCTTTGTCTAATTCACTCATATATCATTTTCTACTTTGATGGGATACTGCTAGACATGTCGGACAATGAAAACAGCAGGCCTCACTACTAGATAATGTCAGTTGCTTGTTGGCTTCCCACTATAAACCACAAAAGCATCATTGCCCTGCAAATTCAAAACATTTTCTTTAGTGCACAATTTGAGACTCACTGTAATATGCTTTCAATGGAGTTACCTTTTGTTTTGATCCTTCACCATAATCCTCCAATTTTTTCAACACAGTTTCAAAGAAAACTTGTCTCGAACTTGAATCGTGAGTGTGAGAAAGTCAAGTGGGAGCAGCAAATCATCGACAATGGCTGAATCCCTTTAGTCATTTGTTCATGTTCATCCATCTAAACATCAATTCTTTAGTGTTAAAGAAAAGTGCCTAAGATCCGCCACACTGAGGTATAATAATTACACTTAAATATCAATTCATGTTCTCTAAGGATGTGCAAGACGTTGTAGCTTGGTACGCATTTTAAGCTCAGCTTGATGGCAGTCAACATCATCTTATTAAGAAAATGGTCCTAAAGATAAAACCTCTAATAATTATATAGTATTCATGTTCCATCATTATGGTGAACCTATTTCTTGAGATCTTTGCATTGACCCAGAAGGATTTAACTCGTCAATGATCTGTCATTCCCAGTCAATTTTCTTGCACTCAGTTTTTAGGTTCAAAATTTAGCTTAAATTGAGCCTGTGTGAACCAAGGGGCTACGAACGAAGTTTCAGATGTAAAGGTGCCTCCACTGATAGCATATGGCAGTCAATTTCAGATTGTATACAGAATGGCATGTTTTCTTCTAGGTTAAGCTTTCACTAAGCCATTCTATTTACGCAACAGCCTAGCCCAGCCTGTGAGTTTCAAGGGGTTTGCGGCCAGGGGGAGCCATTTAGTATGCCTTGTGGTTACCTATGCAGCTTAGTTTCGCTGTGGATTTTTGAGCCGAGATTTGGGCCTCTCATTTACTGAGTCTAGCGGACCATCATGTCACTATCGCCATCCGTTCAAACGTGAGTGTGACAGCAATATTTGGCCCTCGGCCTGAAGCCCTGTACTCCACCATAGACGCTCTCGTCTCGGCAGCCACCTTAAGGATTTTCTAACATGATTTTTGTCGTTCAGTCCCTCTCTCTCTCCCTCTCTGCCGATTTTCTTCTTCTTCCAACTGCCTTCTTTTGCTCCACTAGATTCCGCTTTGTACACAGTATGAGGCTTGTGTATAGTGTTGTTTCGATTGGCCATCTTAAAATTTTCACAATGGCAGGTGGTTGTCGGATATTGGGTGAACCTTAAATGACTTTTGCCTCATGTGGAGGCAATTGAAGCCTCTAGAACAATTCAGTCTTTCTTGCAAGCACTTCCATGTCATAGGATCCTCTTGTGCTTCAATTAAATGCTAAACACGCTTCATTTGTTTTGGTCTGTGATTCATTCTAGTGGGCTTGTCACTATTTTCCATAACTTTAGAGAATTGACTATCCCCACATGATTCAAAGATTCTGCATCTCTCCCAATACTCCTATTTTCTTCAGAAGGTGCCATCCACGTTGAAAACAACCGACGGAACACAACGTATTTCAGCTCACAAGCAAGTCTCAGATGAAGAAGTCAACGAAGTGAGAGAATAATGTGACGAAAATCCCATGTGGATAACCCTAGCGTCCCTGCACTGTTGGGTCCTAAATCTGGAGTCAAAGTTTGATGCATGGTTTTCCCTGTCTGAAGCCCCTTAAACCTGCTAGGCTGGTCCCGCCCTCTGCTTTTATGTATAGCCAAAACAGAAGAGAATCCAAGAAGCAAACCCACGTGGCAATAAACATTTCCTGCATCACAAACAATCCGCCAAAGGACTGGAGAACAGATGTGGAATCTTTCTGGATTCAAATAGTCCATAACAGAGAACAGTATCCTTGTTACAGTAATCATCAGTCTACCTCTAGCAACTGACTGTATACAGGTCCAGCATTCATTTGGGTTTGAATTGGTCTGTGGTACTATAAATGGCATGTTCACGCAAGTCTGGGTCATTGTTATAAAATTGATGGGGAACATAGTTTTTCATTTTTTGTAATTTATTTTTTAATTTTCAAAGTTAGGGAGGACGCCCTCAAGTGGGAATCTCGAGCTTCTCATATCATTCTGATCCCTTTCACCTTTTATTCTTCAAATCTCAAACGTCACAGTACAGAATCTAAATACGTTGAAGTTTTGACGGTCTCACTGCTGAATTTTGAAGCTCCGTTCTAAGAAATGTTATGCAACATGTAAATATTGTTTATTGCTGCTTTCCTTTCGAGGACAATTTGTGCTGCTCCATTTTATTTTTTTAAGCAAAAAAGTTTATTTTATTACTCCAACTGTAAACAAACTCTCATCGAGGGTCATAGCTGCCGCCTGTTTCTTTTGGTAGCTCTGTCTGACACTTCCTACAGGACAAGGCTGATAAATATCTCTGTTGTTCCCTGGGCAGGACCTAGGACAGTGAAGCTTTTTGCCAACAAAGAGCATATGGGTTTTAGGTGAAAATAAGCTATTTATTTTAGTGCTCATCCCCTTTTTTTTTTGGTGATGGAAAAATTCTTCCGAGTGTTCAGTCGGCACTAGATTCTTACTTGATTGTAATGCATTTGCAGCAATGTCAACGATTATCTGCCCAGTGACTCAGCTATTCTCTCTGAAGAAAATCTCAAGGTAGAGATCATAGATCATAGCTTGTCTGATACTTTCCAGAGTTAAATCACATTAGGAGCGAGCTACTCTTGTGTTCTTGGCAATACCATTGCCTCCGTATTTTAGCTTCTTAAAAACTTTTTTTTTTTTTTTTGCAGGGAAAACCCATAGTCCTGAAGTATGTCAAATTTCAGAATGTTCGCAGGTGAGAGGATTTTCTTTAGCCGTCGGATTGTGCTGGACCTGTATAATATAAGATGAAGTGTTGACTAATTCTCGCAAATCCTACCAGCTTGACCATTTTTGTTGAGGATAACCAAGGTAGCGCTGAGACCTCCAAGGTTCAGAAGATAATTCTTTATGGAACTACGTAAGTAGTTATTATAACGTTTCATTTCGCTTATTTACTTCGTCTACGCTCTTACTACCAGTTATAGTTCTTGGATTGAAGCTCTCTTTTTCACTACTACTCAATGGCGATCGCACTTTACACCCACCACAAGTCAACAAAACTCTCAGACCCCAGTGACTGTCACCCTGGACGTCTAGATGATCACCATTCAGTCAAGATCATGTTTTTTTTTTCCGAAATTTCTCCTGGATTAAATTCCATAATTTCTTAGGGTGATCTGTAGAGCTTTTTGCTTTTCGAATCACTAAAATCAGTAAATATTTACATATTCCACCTTTACCCGAAAATGGTTTTTACTCCCAGCGAGCTGAAAAGAGCGTCTGATTTGATCTTATGCCACTGATTAGAACCTCACAGAGAGAGAGAGAGAGAGAGAGAGAGAGAGAGAGAGAGAGAACTGGCCTTTCCTCCTCGCCATCCATACTGTGTCAAGAACATGTTTCCGACCGTGCCTTCATCTCTGTAGATGAACGTTGTGAAGCTGCGGTTTCGTTGGTCAAGTCTCGAAAATCTTCTGCACATTAAGAGCGGAAAGGACGCTACTCTACTTAGTAGGGTCAACGCCTTCCTCTCTCATCAGCCAGGTCGCCCCTTATTTCTGGCAACCTCCCTCTTCCTGCAACCATCAATCCCCCTAGCGGCCCTAGTTTCTTCCCATCTCCATGCCCATAATATGCTCTCCTTCTTGGATGTGTTATTTTATCTCCGCCCAAGCTCATCTGTTGCTGTTCTGCTGTTCTTGACGAGACCCGCTTCTGGCCAAGCCCAAGATCTCCATGGAGATACGCACCTCTCTCTCTCTCTCTCTCTCTCTCTCTCTATCGACGTGCCAATCTGTTCGTCCTCTTCCCAAGTCTTCGTGATGCAGTGACCCTCGGCGCCATGGAGGCCTAGCCCACTGTGGGCTTTCACCAACCCGACTTGGCCTGGTGGATAGCTTGCTAATTTGGATCTCAACCTGGTGAAGCTAACTCCGTTCTCTCTCTGTCTCTCTCGCTCTACGCAGGGTGGAGACGACGAACGTGAAGGACCTAAAGAAAATCGAGGAGCACTGAAGGGGAAGGGGACCCGCTACTCTCTCCCCTCCAATAATTTACTCTCTCTCTCTCTCTACTTCTCCGCCGTGGTGGCGCCAGAGTCGGCGCCTCGGCCGACACTCCCTGCTACTTTGTCTCTTGTCACTTCTCGCCGCCGGCTGGTGGACGGCGGCTTCGTGAGCCATCGGTGGTGATTAATTTCTCGCTCATCCCGCAGTTGATGGAGAGAGAAAGAGAGATACGATCGATGATAGAGGTAGCTGAGAGTTGACCTTTCTCTCTCTTAATGTGTGCCTATCACGCCCCTGCTATACATGCGATGAGAGCTACGGGGACACCTGGCTTCTGGAGAGGACTTAAATATGATGGTCCAGACACGTGGAGCGTAAGTGTCCAATCCGACAATTATTTTGATCGGCTTGTCGGGGTCCGCGGCGGCGGCGATTTAATGGCGGTGGCCTCTCCTTGTCGGTGAGCTGTAGCCTCCTATCGGCGCCGCCCGTCGATGGGTCTACTCGCCACGATTGAACCTCCCGGTTGGGTAGCTTCCCACTTCTCTCTCTCTCTCTCTCTCTATAATCTCTCTCTTGCTTCTATTCATTCACGAGAGTCGCTGTTCCCGCCGCCACCGCCGCCAGTGTCCGGGTACACCACTCCGCCTCCCTTTGACGAAGATGGGATGCTATTAGATCTTCCTGGAGTCCAAAGCAGATTGACTTTTTTTATTGCGCTGCTCCCCAGAAAATGGAAAGGGGAAAAAATGTGAAAGGACATAATTTACGGATACGATCAACACGTGTGCTCATGCAACGTCCCTAAAGGAGCTCCTCCTAAGCTCCGATTTTCAGGGACTTGTTATCCCCCCTCGTCGAGCAAGACAGGATACTCTCTCTCTCTCTCTCTCTCTCTCTACCCTGTTTTCTTATAGAGTCGAGTGTCGTTACGGGAGGGTCATGGAGAGGTATGCTACTGCTTCCAGCCTCCCGACCGACGGACGGTCCCGACGGCGGCGTTGAAGCACCAAGATAACCAAAGTCAACCTTCCGTCGGTTTGTCTGTCTGTCTCTGTCTCTCTACCTATCTCTTTCCGTGTCTCTCAATACGTCCCGTCTCTCTCTAAGCTTCGCTTTCTGCGTCTCTCACTAACCTATATCGGTCTCTCCCCCCATCCCTTTTCATCTGCGTTGCTCTTCCTTCAACCTACCGTCTCTAATCCTGAGCAGACAACTCTCTCTCTCTCTCTCTCTCTCTCTCTCTCTTACTCACGTTATCAGGATAGCCCGCTCAGGTATTCACCACACGGCCCTGTACTTACTTCTTGTTATGCATCTGTTAATGTGTCCTTTTTTGGTAAATAAGGAAAAAAGGTGTAAAAATAGTGGAAGAGGGTGCTCGAGCACTGAAAAACGAAAATTTTCGGTATGTTTGATGGCAGTGCAGATAGGATCAGTTGAGGGAGATCGGCAGGCGGGATGGAAGCTTGAGAGGAGGGTGGAGCCCAGACATGAATGCTGGTGTGGGTAGTGGAGCCCAGACGTGAGAGGAAGAGTTTAGTGAGAGAAAGAAGATTCCCTTGCTACCCCCCGGGGCATAAGATTCCCCCGGGCAGTAGATGGCGTGGAGCTGGGTAGAGAGAGCAGAGAGTTGCAGACGATCGCCCCCCCCCCCCCCCTCTGGTTGTCACAGCTTTCGCAGAGCTCTCGCGGCCGCACAGTGTTCCCCTGTGCCGGGCAAGGGGCTCAATTTGACTGCTTTTGCTAACCCTTCTCCATCATTCTGTGGAGCAGCTCAGAGAGAGAGAGAGAGTCTTGGAATAACCGGAGGAGTAAATTCTGTCCGTGAAGCACGTTGACCAGTTATCCAAACCATCTTATCATGCATAAATTCTCCCGCGGACGGAGAGAGAGAGAAAGAGAGAGAGAGAGGGCATTGGGGGGGGGGGTAGCCGTGGAATTGAATGAAACGAGCTTCGTATTTATCCTCTCTCTCTCTCTCTCTCTCTCGCCTTCGATGGAGTCGGCATTTGCTCTGTCTTTAGTATGCCGCGCTTAATGGCTCGAATCAGACAGGACATCCTCCCTGGTCGAGAGCTACACTTCTAGTTGATGCATCATTAGAAAACTTCTTTCTCTCCACCTCTCGCTGTATTCTCTGACATCGTAGGGGACACTGTTACTCCTTTCGTTACTCTCTCTCTGTCTTCCTTCACATAAGAAGCCCAGGGACGTCGAAGACTCGATCGACTGAACCCAAGTCTCCGAAAGATGGAAGGCGGTAACAGCCCGTTGCCACGGGGGTGCCCCTCGCCGTCCGCCGGCGGCGGGCTGCGGCCGCCAGAGATACCGTGGGATCCCATGGAGTTTCTCGCGCGCTCGTGGAGCGTCTCGGCGATGGAGGTGTCGAAGAAGCTGGCATCCCCCAAAGAAGCTATCCACCTTGTCTCCGGCGGCATCATACAGGAGGAAGAGGACGCAATGGCAGAGGAGAGCTCCATGGCCACCACAACGAACCCTTTCTCCTTCCCCACTCCCCAGCTCATCTTGGAAAGGATCATGGCGCAGTCGGTGAGCCCTCTCTCTCTCTCTCGGGTCTCCTTCTTCCTCTCCCATTACAAATGATCTGAGGGGGGACTATTTGACGCCTTCCGTGGATTTGTCTTTCTCTGGCCGTCGAAGGTGGCGCATCAGGAGGCATCCCCGATGACGTCAGGGAGGCTGTCTCACAGCAGCGACGCTCTCTCCGGCAGCCACAGCGGCGGCTCTCTTTCCGAAGGGACACCGGTCTTCTCCTCCCTCGCTGACGACGCCGTCAAGGTCAGCCCCCCGTCCTCTTCCCCCCACCTACCCACCCCTGTGCCGCTACTCTTCTCTCCCTTCTCTTTCCTCTCCCTCTTGAAAGAATCCATTTTCTCTCTCTACTGTTCCTCCTCATTCCTCTTCGTGTGAAAACAATATCATCTAATTGAGCCACCACTTTTCCGTAGAGTCTTCCCTCCCCTAGTTCAAAGGCCTGAAATTCCGGCCTTTCGTCTGGTTTGGAAACTAATGGGGTGCTTTCAATCGATGGAGTGAAGGTTAGTGGAGAAGAGGTCTTTCCCTTTTGTTTCCTCCTGGTCTCTCTCTCTCACTCTCGCTGCTGTTTATTCTCTTTCCGTCTCTCATTGTGAAGACAGTGGAGTGCTGAGTATGTGAAGACGATTTTCGAAGAGAAGGGGTAGGTTTCTCCTTCGTTCCTCCTCCTCATCTCTCTAGTAGTTCCATTTTCTTCCTCTCTCGTATAAAGACGATGCGGCGCGGAGATACCGTTGCTCAGCTTTGGGATTTTGGGTCAAGAACCTAGTGAGAGAGAGGGAGTGAGGAGAGAGAGAGAGAGAGAGAGTGGAGTACCTGGGACGCTGTCTGATCCCAGAAAACAGCTGCTTTTTCCCACAGACGCAGATCTCTTTTACTGTTTCTTCCCTGGGTGCCCCTGCCCTCTTGTTGGCTGTGTGTGTGATCATATCAAAGCTATTCGGAACTGGTCGGAAAGACACACGTCCATATTGAGGAAGAGAGAGAGAGATATGAGAGGAATTGATGCTTCCAAATGGGGACCCAAGTAGAGAGAGGCAGAGAGTTAAATCTGGAGAGAGAAATAGACAGCGGGGACGGGAGAGAGAATTTGCCCGGCTTCTTTCTCTTGTTCTGTGACGCCATTAAATTCTATCGCCGTTGAGTTGGCTGGGTGAGAACCTTTTCCTCCCAACGTACTCACAGACGTCGATGTCTGTCTGTCTTTCTGTGTGTGTTTCTCTCTCTCTCTCTCTCTCTCTCTCTCTCCATCTCTCTCCATCTCCCTTCTATCTGACTCATTCCACCAGAGACTCTCTCTCTCTCTCTCTCTCTCTCCATCTCTCTCCATCTCCCTTCTATCTGACTCATTCCACCAGAGACTCTCTCTCTCTCTCTCCATCTCTCCCTTCTATCTGACTCATTCCACCAGAGACTCTCTCTCTCCCTCCCTCCCTCACTCTCAATAATACATTACTCTCTCTAGCATCCAATTCTGAAGTACTTCCGGGTTCTGAGAGGAAGAAGACACCCAAGACTGTGCATATCCGGTTCTCTTCTTGAACATTCTCATTTACGGCAAAGTGAAAAGAGAAAGAAGACAGCCAAGACTGTGCTTATCCGGTTCTCTTCTTGAACACCGTCCTTTACGGCACTGCTACTAGATTTTTCTTGTGGTAACCCTGTTATCCGTCCTCCCGCTGCCTTCTACCAACCCGCTTCGTGGGCCTGTCGGCGGCTGGGATGGGTCCCCACCGTAACGGTGCTTTCGGTGTTCGCAGCTACCGGCGGCGGCGCCGCCCGCCATCTCCAAGCCGCAGTCGCGGAGGGGCGGCAAGACCGTGGGTCGGTGGCTGAAGGACCGCCGGGAGAGAAAGAAAGAGGAGACCCGCACCCACAACGCCCAGCTGCACGCCGCCGTTTCCGTCGCCGGCGTAGCCTCCGCCGTCGCCGCCATGGCCGCCGCCACCGCCGCCGCGGCGGCGTCTCGGGGCCCCGCGAAGGACGACGAGACGACGAAGATGGACATGGCGCTCGCCTCCGCCGCCACCCTCATCGCTGCGCACTGCGTGGAGGCGGCGGAGTCCATCGGCGCCCAGCGCGAGCTCCTCGGTTCCGTCGTCGCCTCCGCCGTTAACGTCAGCACCCCCGGCGACGTAGTTGCCCTCACCGCCGCTGCGGCAACTGGTAAGCCCCCCCGTCACTTCATTCTTTATCCCCACAACCTCCATCATCGGCTTTTGCTGATCTCTCTCTCTCTCTCTCTCTAGCTCTGAGAGGGACTGCGGCGTTGAAGGCTAGGGCGCTGAAGGAAGTATGGAACGTGGCCGCCGTAGTGCCGCTGGAGAAAGGGAGTGCCGCGCATGGCCGCCCCCAGCATCACCGTCCGCGACAGCACTGCCACGAGGAGTCAATCCAGCAGGCGGAGGATCGCAGGAACGACATCCCGTTCAGCGGCGAGCTTCTGCCGGAGGACTTCCTCGGCATGTGCAGCCAGGAGCTCCTCGCTCGAGGGGCTGAGCTTCTCAAGCGCACTCGCAAAGGTGGGTTCACTCGAAAAATATCCTCTCCGGCGGGAGTTGTAAAGCTGAGATTTTCGTCCGTCGTTGCAGGTGCCCTTCATTGGAAGATCGTCTCTGTCTACATCAACAGAAATGGCAAGGTTTAGTTCCTCACAAAGCTCTTCACCCCGCACCAGCCTCCTCCATGATTAGGGTTTACGGATTCACCTGGTTTCATGTTCATTATAGGTGGTGCTCAAGATGAAGAGCAGTTACGCTGCAGGCACCATCACCAAGAAGAAGAAGTGTAACCATCTCTCTCTCTCTCTCTCTCTTTCTCTCTCTTCCGCTTTCATCTCACTGATGAGGATGACGGTGGCGTTGTAGATGTGGTGATGGAGGTGTGCAAGGACTTGCCGGCGTGGCCGGGTCGGCATTTGCTGGACGGGGGCGAGCAGCGCCGTTACTTCGGGCTGAAGACGGCGGAGCGCCGTATTATCGAGTTCGAGTGCCGGAGTCAGCGGGACTATGAGATCTGGACGCAGGGCGTCGCCCGCCTCCTCGACATCACCGCCCGGAGGAGCTCCCCCATCTGAGCGGCGGTGTTCATGGCGGCGCCCTCGCTGTCACCGCCGGTATGGCCTCGCGCAGGCGAGCTCCCTTATAGGGCTGATAACAGTACGATCTTCTTCTCCCGACGAGGAAGGGAAAAGGTCTCCCCGATCCACGTCCCCCGACGGTTACATTGATTCTTCCTACTCTAATCAGTGTAAAAGATCAGATATCACCCATGCCATGCTCTTGTGGTGATAATAGTACGAACGTGTTTTGGCAATTCCTGATCTTGGGTTGTCGGGATCGATCGATCGATCCAACTACGACGCTTGGTCTCTTCATAAGAGGTTCTCTCTTCGCCCCACCAGCAGTGGTAGTTTGTATTTGAAGCGTTGAGTTTCTTTTCATGGAAGGGAGGAATCGAAAGGGGGGGGAGGGGTTTACTCTTCATGCAAGGGTGCCATGGTAGGACGGATGAATCATCGTGGTTTTGTTTGAAAAGAACCACCTGATGATTTATCCGTCATAATTGGGCTTCAGATTGAGCTTGTCAGGAAAAAGGCGCCGAACAATCTGGGCCATTTTATCTTCGCACGTGGTTGTAGCACACTTAGTACTCTGTCTGTGTGTCTGTCTGTCTGTCTGTCTGTCTCTCTCTCTCTCTCTCTCTCGCTCGCTCGCTTGTTCACTCTCGTTCTCTCTATCTTATCTATCTGTCTATCTATCCACCTATCTGTGTGTCTATCTCTGTCGCCGGGATGTTGCGCCTTGATTTGTCCCTAGCTAGGTGAGTACGTGATTTATTTGAATTTTTGGTTGGACACTAAGAAAGAAACTAGAAAAAGGTAGATGGGCGTTCAAGAGGACCATTTTTCTTGGGTGCTCTTCTCCTAAACAATTTTCAACTGCAGGATATTGGGCCCAATTTGTGTGCAGACTGACCCATGTTGGGAGCGCTCCTCCAATTGGATGATGAGCACTTTCTCCTACACCACGCTATCTAAGAAATCAGTGGGACAAAAAATTTCATAGCATATTTTATCATAAATATGTTTATGTGTTGACAATTTTGATACTGATGATATAAAATCTATTCATAGTCTAGGGGAAGAAATATATACGTTAATAATTTATTCATTTTATCCTAATCACACACTAGATCTTTTCCAACTCTAGCACATATGGTTTGAATCTAATCCCACCATGCAAATGTTACAGGTTTCAATTTGTATGCAACTAGCTTAATATGTTTATCTTCAATAATTTTCATATATTTTAAAAATATTTCAACTTCTAAAATCCAATCTATGAGTTTTTCTATTTTCAAGTGGCGATTAAAACTAAATAAATTAATTTTTATGCAAAAATCTCTAGTTTCATCATATTATGATCCTTTCACTACTTGACTCACATGACTGACTTTTGAGAAGAATTGACTAAAATCATTTTTTTTCTGATGTGAATGGTGTTCTTATGAACACATTCAAGAATATATTTCATTCAATGTATCATTTATACTCAAGTTTTTGATCCATATGTTATTGATACTCAATACATTCTTTATGAGAAAAGGGGGACAACTCAGACCCTTCTTCCTGATTTGTTCGTAGTCCTTTACTTCATGACATCTTCAAATGCAAAATTACAAGTGTCAACCTTTGATATCACATTATGTAGCAAAACTTGTGAGGCATATGACTTTGGTGAGCTGCAAACAATTGTGGCACTGTGGAGACTAAAATAATGTGTGGAATCCTGGAAAGGCATTTATGTCATGGTTCTCTTACCCTAAATCCACAAGTTAGAGATGATAAGTCTCTTTAATCCACAAGGGTGTGGCTTTGAGTCCATAAAATTAAAGATGTGGGTTCCTTGAGTCTATAGGGGCGTTAGAGTCTACCAAAAAATGGAGAGTACCTTAGAGAGGAAGAAACTTACAAAAATTATTGATTGAAACTAGAATATCTCTTGAGCTACATGGGAGCCTTTAAATAGGTTAAGGTATGTTGATTGGACACTGAAATTTAAATTTAAAATGAAATTCAAAAGTAGAAGCTGAAGGAGAATAGGAATAGAAAAGGAATAAGAATCGAAGGGGAAATAAAATCATAAAAATATAAAAATAGAAAGAAACTAAAAATAGAAGAGGGAATAAAAATAGAAAGAGCTAAAAATAGGAGAAATGAAAATATAATAGTAAAAATAAAAGGGAGACAAAAATGAAAAGAACAAAAAATAGAAGGAGGATCAAAATAAAAAGAGCTAAAAAGTGAAATATGAAAGGAGACTTTTGTATGGAAAACTCCTAAATGTGTCTTGTTATGGGCCCAATTTTTTCATTGGGCCAACTCTAACTTACATGGATCTTTAAGCTGCCTATGCATTTGCTTCACTTGATATATATCTTAAGTGAGTTGCATCAAATATTAGGGAAAATGTTACTTCACAATTATTTTTTAAGCTAAATGATGTTGTTATGACTTATAAACATATTGAATCATAACAACGGCAACATCCATTTCATCTATTCCAACTATAGGAAGAGTAATAATTACTGGAGAGCCAAAATTAAATGCATCTACTCTATCTAGGTGAAATTCTGTAAATTTGTTTTCTCATGTGTCATATTCTATTCCATATGTTGTAGATGTAATGAAAGGGAAAAAATTAAGTGTCTATTTAAAATGTGGTGTTGTGAATTTTACAGAAATAATTGATGAAGATAAATATCATGAAGTGAAAGATTGATATGAAGTTCATAAAAATATTATTGATGGTGATAAATATGAAGATTATTCCTATTCTCTAGTGGTTAAGAGGTTTATGCACATATCAAAGAAGGAAGAACATCCACATAAGCATAATATATTTTGAACAAGATGTATATGACAAGATATGTGATGTTATCATTGACTCTAGTAGTAGTAAAAATATTATTCTTTCTTTGATGGTATAAAAATTAAGATTAAAGATAGAGAAACATTCTCATCCATATAGAATTAACTAGATTAAAAAGGATTTTAAGACAAAATTTATAGAGACACGTTTGATAAAATCTTCAATTGATAAAATTTATTTTGATGAAATTCAATGTGATGTAGTTGATATGAATGCATGCAATATTATTTTGAGAAGATCATAACAATTTAATTTGAATGTAACTCGCCACGATAGAGAGAAATATTTTCTTTTATAAGAATTGTCAAAATTAATTTTATGCTTAATAAAAGACATTGATTTCTCTACTATTGTTAAGGAGAAAAAAATAATAGGTGATGATGATTGATAGGAAAGAGCTATTTACAATAGTTGACTGAAATATCTTAATTTTTTTTATTGTTAGACAATCTTCAAATTTTATATTAGCTGCACATAAATGTTGAGTGAATTTGCAATCACACAAGATTTACCTTATCATCTTCCTCTATTGAGAGATATAAAGCATCATATTGATCTAATTCCAAGAGCAAGTTTACTAGACTTATAGGATGAGTCAAGGGGAGAATTGAGTGTTACAAGAACTGGTGAAAGAATTGTTAGAAGTGAGACTAATTTGTGAAAGTATTAATCCATACTTTGTCCTTGTGTTGTTAGTTCTGGAAAAAGACAGAAGTTGATATATGTGTGTGGACAATAAAGTTATTAGTGAAATATAAATTTCCTATTTTGAGATTAGATGATATACTTGATATTCTGTGTGGTTCAAAAATCATTTTCAAAGTAAATTTTAAAAGTGTGCATCATCAAATTTAAATTCACCTATTAGAAAGCTTGTATTAATAAGATTTGTATTAAATATATGAGATTTGTCTTTTCATGAGTTAAGTATCAAACATTTCAATCACTAAAGATATGAGAAAATATTTTTTTCTCTACAATGAGTCAAAAAATAAAAGTTTCATTTTGATTGAGGAAAAATATGATACGTTATAGTATTAACTCTTCTAAATTTTGACAAATTATTTGAAATAGAGTATGATGCATCAATTATCAGAATTTGAGCTATGTTATCTCAAAAAATTGTCAAGTTACTTTCTATAGTGAATAATTGACTAAAGCTATAAGGAAATGAACAACTTATGAATTTGAGTTCTATGTTGTGGTTAGAGTATTATGTACTTGAGAACATTACTCTATTCAATGAGAATTTATTTTATTTACTGATTATAAACTTTGAAGTTTTTCAATAGTCAAACTACTATTAATAGGATGCCTGAAAGATAGATTTCCTTCATTTAAAAGTTTACCTTTTTATGAAACATAAATCTAGAAAAATGAATCAAGTTCTTGATGCACTTAATAAGAAAACAACACTATTAATGACTATGCATGCTGCAATTACTAGATTTAAATATTTAAAATAATTATACACTAAACATCAAGAGTTTATCCAAATTTAGAACAATTAAAAGTAAAATAAAGAAATAATTATATTTTATATTTTTGGAAATTATCTTTTTCATTAGAATCAATTATGCATACCTTGAATTTCACTATATAAATTTGATTCAAGAATTACATGCAAGGAGACCTAGATGACATTTGGGTGTGAAAAAACTTTACAAATGGTACAAAAAGAATATTACTTGCCTCAATTGAAGAAAGAACAAAATTTTGTCCAAAGATATTAAATTTGTCAAATTACTAAAGTGTATTTTCAGAACATAGGTTTATATACTCCAGTATCAATTCTAAATATGCTATGGGTTGACATTTTTGTAGATTTTATTTTGAGATTACCATGTACTTAGCGAAGAAGATTCTATTTTGAGAAGAAGTTCTAAACATGCTATGGGTTGTAGATTGATTGTAAACGATGACACATTTCATTGCATATAGGAAAACAAATGATACTATATAAATAACTAATTTTGTTTTTGAAGGAATAATTTGTTTGGATGGAATTTCAAAGTCCATTAGTTTCGGTATACTCTTCCAAAAAAAATTAATTCATAGTTAAAATTCAGTTCTATTAGAAGTTCTCTCATGATAATAGAAATTTAATTTATTGTATTTAAGAGAAAATAAAATTAGTGAGATT